CTTGAGTTGAGTTGTAGGAAAAAGCTAAAGTGTTTAAGGGAAGGGTTGAGGGTCTGTGAGAAAGGTAGCTTTATAAAATAAGTTACAGTCATTGCACACACAGAATATAAAAGCATAAAAATAAAGAAAGCATAGAATAACAAAAAAAACAACAACAACACCCCAATTCATTTAGATAAAGAGCAATATCCTCCTGATCTTTAAACAGTTTTCCTTTTACAATTCTGAATAAAAAATTGTAGGTTCTAGCCTCAGTCTTTCTGCTAAGATAACATTAATAACTTGCTATCTTAGTTTCCAAAAGCCATTAACAGATTTACAGATTCATGTACAATAGATAAAATCTCACTCATCATATTTAAAATTATCACCAGGGGTTGATACCATATCTATCACCTTTAAACAATTTTCCTGCAGTAGAGAAGCTACAAGAAAGTTACTGAGCTTCCCCATAAACAATCATTCCTAGATTTTCTTTTAGTAAATTTGCTGCTTATTTTTCCAAATATGATAGGGCTAATTTGCTAATGCAATGCCTGACGGTATATTTTGGAAACTGCTTTCTTGGGTTATTAAACAAAATATTTTCAAACCATGATAACTCTTGATAAGTTGTCATTCTCCTCACCACCCTCCTAATTTAAAATGTATAATTTCTGAGTATTCAAATAGTAATGGTGCTCATTGACATGTTGAAAAGTTGTTGGTTTTTTGTGCTTTTATCCAGTCTCTTTGCATACTGTACACCATGATACATCTATTGGTCAAAATATGCTAATTGTCCATTGTTGAAATTTCAATGTAAACACTGGTGTTGTTTATCTTTTTATAAATATATATACCTTATAAATGCTGTAATACTTGCTTTTTGAAAAAAAGTAGGTACAGAAGACCGTGACATTGCTTTTTTTTTTTTTTAAGTGTGGAATAACTTTCTGAAACAGAATCTCACTTTCATTTCAGTGTAGTCTCTAAGCATTACCAACACATCCTGGCTTTGGCTTTTGCAGTAAAGGAGATAAATGAAACTCTCTGGTCTTACCCAATCTCACTCTGGGCTTCCACATCTATGACAGTTATAACAACGCAAGGAGGACTTATCATGCCACAATGCTGCTTCTATCAGCACTGGAGAGATTTATCCCTAACTACCTATGTGACAAGCAAAAAAATCTAATAGCAGTTGTTGGAGGACTGGATGCCCAAATTTCCATTCACGTGGCAACTCTCTTGAGTAACTATAAGGTTCCACAGGTAGGAATCTCTCTGTCTGTAGGTGAGTGGGTGTAACATGGGGAGTTAACACATATATTCTTGACATACTGCATTTCATATTCTATGATTCAAAGACATTAATGTGTGCCTTGCAAAAAAAGAGACAGACTTATTTTTTCCATGCATCTCAGAGCCAAACTTGAAAAACAAGAAGTTTAGTCCGATGTTGCTGATAGAGTTTTTATGATGCTGCCAGTTCTGCTGTTTCTTTTGTTTTATTGTTTTCGATTGTATTAAATTCAGGAGGTTAAAAGAGGGCTTAAAACTGCAGAAGAAAATATTCTTCATAGTACATTCACCATTGCAGGGGAAAATTAAGTGCAAATAGGACTACATAAAAACCATCAATGTATGGAAGAACCACACCTTGCCAGGTGAGTTCTGCATGCAATTTAAAGAAAAAAAAGTGCTCAGAACTTGAGTAACTAATATCAAGGCAACAAGGAGAGTTCAAGGGAGATAAGCATTCACTATTTATGTGGACATCCGGGTAGACACAATTAGGAGGAAACACAGTTAGCGGCAAGGGAAAGCTATGTGTAGTTGGACATGCACTCTGGATTGTAGGAATGCTGATTTCAAAAAAGCTTAAAGAACTACTAGTGAGATCTCATGGTCAGAAATACTCAGAGAGATGGGAGCCCAAGATGGATGGGAGTTTCTTAAAGGTGAAATACGGAAGGCACAAATGCAGATGATTCCAACAAGAAAGAAATGGGGAGGCACCTAGAAACCAGTGTAGCTGCATAAGGAGCTTACAGACGAGCTGAGTTTTGTTTTTCGTTTGTTTGTTTTTAAATCCTCTTGTCCCCTTTAGCCCCCATACTCCACAAATAACTGTTCCAGGTTTAGGGAGCAGTGCTTTCGCTTGAGGTGAGCGGGAATCAACAAAATGTAATTCCCTATCTTGTGACATATGGCTTTCATCTGAAAAGGGAACAACACTGGCTTCTAACCTACATGGATATGTTTTAAAACCTTCAATATACAATATATATCTGATTATTATTGCCTTCTTCATCTCTTCAGCTCACATATGGCTCTGTCCCATTGTTGAATGATAGAAACCTAGGACTTTCTTTCTACCAGATGGTACCCCATGAAGCCCTTCAGTACAAAGGGATTCTTTCTTTGCTTCTGCATTTCAGGTGGACATGGATTGGGGTTCTTGTAATGGATAATGAAAATGGTGAAAGATTTTTGCAAGCTGTTTTGGCCAGTATTTAACCTGAGAGGTGTCTGCTTTGACTTTAAAATAAGAGTCCCTATGTTAACTTCTGGCTCTGAAGCTGGATGAAATGCTAGAAGATGGGACAAGGATACACAATGTAATAATGAAAAGTACAACCAATGTAGTTGTGTTTTATGGTGAATCTAATTTCCATGGTGTTTTTGAGATGGCTTCCCTATTATTCGAGAAATCCCCAAGCCTACCCAAAGGGCTTAGTGTGGATATCAACAGCTGAAATGGAGCTCACTTCCTTGGGTTACCAAAAGAATTGGGAAACAGAAATATTCCATGGTGTCCTGTCCTTCACAATTCATTCTAGTTACGTCCCCAATTTCAAACCATTTCTTGAGAGCCGAAATCCTTCCATTACAAAAAGAAAGATGGTTTTATCAAGGACTTCTGGCAACAGACATTTAGTTGTGTATTCTCAGATCCAGATGTGGAAGATGTGGAAGGGGATATTTGCACTGGGGAGGAGAAACTGGAGAGCCTTCCAGGCACCATTCTTTGAGATGGGAATGAATGGCCACAGCTACAGCATCTACAATGCTGTCTATGCTGTCGCCCATGCTTTACACGACAAGTCTTCATTTAGATTCAGAGCAAAGGAAGGCAGAGGAGGCCAGAAGTATCAGAATCAACAGTTTGGGCAGGTAATAGGCTCAAGTGACAGAGCATTGCAACTGTATAATCTATCTCTGAATCCTAAAGAGTGAGCACATTTATCATGAATATTTTCTCACTCAGAATGTTGTACCCAACATTCAATTTTATTATGAAAGGCCCAGCTGTGTCCGCTTCTAAATTCTGGCCTTTTCCTTATTCAAACTAGATCCATCACTTTCTCAGAAGTGTGTCCTTTAACAACAGTGGAGGAGACAAGATTTCATTTGACCAAAATGGGGAGTTAGTGGCTGGATTTGATATAATCAACTGGATTGTTTCTTCAAACCAATCATTTCACAGAGTGAAAGTTGGGAGTGTAGATGCCAACCAAGTGTTCAGTATCAATGCGAATGCTATTACATGGCATGACTGGTTTAACCAGGTAGGTCCCAATTGTTAGCCATTTGAGTAGCATTGCCACTCATCTTCCAAGCTTGCCACTCATCTTCCAAGCCCATGTACAGGGAAGCTAAGTGAACAGCAACACTTTGAAGTGCACCCCAGCTCCCAATGAATTCTGGGGAGACTCGGGTATTTCCTGCACACAATTTTGTCAATTGGACTCTACCAGAGGGAAATGATCAGCAACACTTTGAGGAGCACCCTGGCTCCCATCAATTTATGTGAGAGCCAGGACATGGTGGAGGGCCATGAGGCAGCAATTCTGTTTTGCCTTCAGGTGGTAAATAGGATGAGCTGCCTCTGACTCCATTCCAGAGATGGAGTCTCTTGAAAAGAGGTATGACTTTAGTAACAAATGAAATGTTCACACAAAGGAAAGGATTCTAATCTCATTATTCTGAATATTATTTTTTCTGCTCTCTCTTTTATGGATTAGTCCCAGCCTCTTTCATTATGTACTGAGAGGTGCCACCAAGGTTTTAGGAAAGAAAGTGAAAAGAGGGAAAGCCATTTTGCTGCTATGATTTGCATCCCATGTCCAGAAGGGAAGATCTCAGATCAGGAGGGTAAGTATCTGATATATGAGATCACTTGAATCAGGGTATTAAAAACAGATCTGGTCAATAAAAATGATGGTGCCTTCTGTGTATCTATATAATGGGTAATATCTTAGCAGAGAAGAAAACTTTCAAAGTAGTGTTTAGTATCACCTACACATTGAGGTTTCAAGCACATTACCTGTTTGTTTGCTTTTTTAAATTGAAGCTTGTGATTCCCCCTCACCCCCCAACTTAGCTGTTCTGGTTCATGCATTTGTGAAATGGACACTTAACTTTGTAATGTAGCTTAAGGGGCCCAGCCTTCGAAGAATTTCACTTCCTTCAATGGATGTGAAAATAAGGAGATCACTCTGTGATCACCCAGGACCACAATCGTTTTCAGTCATTTTATTTTCTACATGTCTTTTGTCTGTGTATTTTATATATATTAATTTACTTCTCCCTCCCCCACCTCTCTCCTCTCTTTCCCCTGCCTGAACTTTTTCATAGCCCCTAGAAGGCTACAAAGAACAACCACCATTGACTTGTTGGCACAGCCGGAAACCGTAAATGCTCAAAAATTAATTAATGAAGGAAGAAGGGGGAAATAAACAGAATACAAGAATCGATAAAAATGTATCAATTACCAAATATATGGTTCTTACATATTTTATGGTCATGACCTAAGATTAGATCACATTGTGACCAGGTATTAACTGAAATAAATGTCACAATGTGGTATGAAGTGTCAAGAGATGCTCAGCATAGCTTTAGAGCTACAAAAACACTGACATTGCTCTATCATATGAACATAGAATCTTATCTGTCAGGAAAGAACAATTTCAGCATGTTGCTGAGACTAAGGCTACATGTTTTCTTTTATAGACATGAATGACTGTAATAAATGTTCAGATGAAGAATATCCAAACAAGAACCAGGACATGTGTATTCCCAAGGATATTAGCTTCTTGTCTTATGAAGAACCTTTGGGCATCAGCTTAGCTTGCTTTGCTCTTTCCTTTTCTTCGATCACCGCTCTGGTGCTGGGAACATTTGTGAAGCACCACAACACAGCCCTTGTCAAAGCCAACAACCGAGACCTCACCTACACTCTCCTCATCTCACTCCTACTCTGCTTTCTTTGTGCATTGCTATTTATTGGCCGACGTGACAAGACGACCTGTCTCCTTCGACAAACTGCTTTTGGCATCATCTTCTCAGTAGCTGTTTCCTGTGTGTTGGCAAAAACCATCACAGTGGTTCTGGCTTTCATGGCTACTAAACCAGGATCCAGGATGAGGATGTGGGTGGGAAAGAGACTGACCAATTCCGTTGTTATTTCCTGTTTTCTTATTCAAGCAGGCATCTGTATTGTGTGGCTGGGATCCTCACCCCCATTCCCAGATGTTGACATGCACTCATTGGCTAATGAAATTGTTCTAGAATGTAATGAGGGATCTGTGACTATGTTTTACTGTGTTCTGTGCTACATGGGCTTCCTGGCTCTTGTCAGCTTCACTGTGGCCTTCTTTGCCAGGAAGTTACCTGACAGTTTCAATGAAGCAAAATTCATCACTTTCAGTATGCTGGTCTTTTGCAGTGTCTGGGTATCTTTTGTTCCAACCTATCTCAGCACCAAGGGAAAATACATGGTAGCTGTGGAGATCTTTTCTATCTTAGCCTCTGGTGCTGGTCTTCTGGCTTGCATTTTTGCTCCTAAATGCTACATTATTTTGTTGCGACCTGAGCTGAACAACAAGGAACATCTAATAAGAAATAGGGCCTGAAGAATTTGCATCTCTTCATCATACTTTTTAGTTTTTAATTCTATAGTTGCTCTATGTAGATTTTCCAACAGACTTCCACATTCTTCTAATATGAAATTTTAATTTGGGAAACTGAATTAAGATTTGTAAGGGGAAAGGATTGTGTCTGTATCCCATCCCTCCATTGTACTGTATTTTTTTGCTTTTCAGTAATTTTTGCTGTTGCCACCTGCCCCACCCCCGGCAAGGTGCTTTTTGAATGTTAAGAAGTCAGCTGAAAACAATCTCACTCTCAAAGTGTCCTGCGTCATGTTGTCTCCAAACTTTTGATGGTGGTGTGTAATGCTTGTCACTTTGTTAAAAAAAATCCTCTATACTTTCCAGAGAATGTTAATATGTAGCTAAAGTGTGAGAGAAAACCTTTCTTTAGAATATAACAAACAACCATTCCTTTTTTTCTGGGGGTACTCAAGGGTTATGAGCTACCGGCACATGTTTTTCTAAGAAGAAATGTGCTGCAAATGTTTCTTAATTCCAAAAGGACTCCAAATCCTTCGCTTAAGAATTGCCTTTGATGTAATAATTAACTACACAATTACCTAGTCAGAAGGACAGTAATTAGTTACTATGTGCAACCAAACCCTTGTGGAGTTTCAGTTGCCACTAGGAAAACAAAGAACAAAGACTGTGAAGGTCATCCTAAATATCCCAGTACCAGTCAGAGATAAAGAGAGGGATTGGGAACAGGCAAAAGCCTACAGTGGTGATCTTTGTTATTCCAGGCTTCAGATCTCTCAGGGAAATGCAAAATCTTCAACGTGGGCAGTTTTAATGGCAGAGGTTTAATGCTTCTACTGTAAAAGAAAATATAGGTTTTTATATATAGAGGGAAGATTTGCTCTTGTACCGAGGATGGCGATTTTAATCATTTTCCTGCTGGTCCTGTTTCCTTGCATGACATGCAAGGCACATATTGTTCAATGTAATATCTATTATCCACAGCCTCCTCTTCACACATTTCACCATCCAGGAGATGTCATCATTGGTGGAGTTGCTTATCATGCTGGATTCATCATCAGTGAAATACACTTCATGGAAGAACCCCGGCAAAAACTGGGAGAACAATTTGTGTATGGCCTTACTGACTGTTTACTTTTCCTCCTATGTATTTTATTCACTTATTTTATTAAACAAACTATTGTCACAGGGTGAATGCGTGCTATTGCTGCAGCCTTAGAAATCTGGCTGCTTGGCTTGGGCTGTAGGGAAAACATCACTGCACTTCCTGAAGCAGTAGGCAATATTGTGCCCATGAGATGTTATTGAACTGAACTAGAAGTTCAGGATGTCCAATGGGCAGGTATTAGGGAGTTGTGGTACAAAAAGCATTTGGAGGAGGGCAGCACATTGGCTACCCCCAAGTTAGTGGGCGGGTATATTATATATACCTACAGATGTATTACAATACATGAGTATGTGTGTTGGTGTATGTATATACAGTCATACCTCTGTTTACATATCCCTTTGGATATGTAATCTTCGGGTTACAGCCACGGCAAACCTGGAAGTGTATGCTTCTGGGTTCTACCGTGTGTGCAGAAGCGCTCAATCACGCTGCGCATGTGCGCAGAGTGCACCTCTATTTATGTAATTTTCGGGGTGCAAACAGACCGCCAGAACAAATTAAGTTTGTATCCGGAGGGTCCACTGTACATCTGTATTTGCCATTGATAGATAAGGCACATTTCCCTCCATAGTTACCGTACTCTCTTCTCTACTTGTGTCTTCCTATTCATCTCCACTCTTACCTCAGATGGCTGGCTTTCCTTCTTTTAATCAATTTTCTTCCTTCCTTAACAAAACTGGACTTCTCAAAAAGTTTGCTTGAGGCTTGTTTAGTCCTTTTTACTCTATAGGTTTTTTTTATTAAAACTTCTTTTGTCCCTATTAAGGAGACTTGCATGCTAATACAAAACTAATGGAGCAATCCTATGTGCAAGAAGCTGGTGTAAAGCAAACTGGTATAAATTAAAGCAGCATAAAGTTACATCAGATCCAAACCTAATGCAGCAGAAAAGCAGCTACTAATGCCCTACCTAAGCCTGGGAGAGGGAAAACAAAGAATTTAAAAATGGTATTCTATGCCAGGTTGCCAGGTAATGCGACCAAGCAGAACATGCTTATGATCCAGTTTAATGCCCTCCCTCTGTGGTCCCATGCCGCCATGCCCCCAGTATGTCCACGTTTCAGATTTAAACTGTTCAGGCAGCTCAAGCTCAGGTGGCTCAATATTGAAACCCTATAAAGAACAACCCTGCAAAGAAAAGCCAGTAAATAAAATTTCAAGGGAAAAGAAAGCATTATGTTCACCAGCATGTTTATCAGAGATTTCTTAAGCCCATGGTGAATATTCACCCCTTGCATCTATTCGGCTATGCTTTTAGTTTTATTTTGTCTTTTCAAAAAAAGAAAAAGCTAATGATGAAATATTATAGAGTGTGTGATCTTCTAAATGTGACCACTCCTATACTTCAGCCTTTATATTTATGTAGGCCAACATAGAAACATTATATATAAATACTGTAATGGTTAATTATTGATAAAGGAGACCCAGAACACAGCAGCAATAACTAAACTAAGTTTGGAATAGCCTTCTGATACAGAATCTCACTCTTATTCCAGCACAGTCAGTAAGCATTACCAACATATCCTGGCTTTGGCATTTGCAGTAAAAGAGATCAATGAAAACCCTCAGATTTTACCCAATCTCACATTGGGCTTCCACATCTATGACAGCTATAACAATGCAAGGAAGACTTATGATGCCACAATGCGACTTCTATCATCATTGGAAAGAGTCATTCCTAACTACCTATGTGACAGCCAGAAAAATCTAATAGCAGTTGTTGGAGGACTGGATGTCCAAATTTCCATTAATGTGGGAACTCTCTTGAATAACTATAAAATTCCACAGGTAAGACAGCTCTTCCTGCTTCTGTGTGTGTGTGTTGGGAATTTAACACTCATATTCTTAGTCCCACCATTTTTCCTATTCTGTTGTGCCAAGACATTATAGTGGTACCTTGGTTTGCAAACGGTCTGGTTTGCATACATTTTGGATTACAAACATGTGAAACCTGGAAGTGTGTGTCCCGGTTTGCAAACTTTTTTGGATTACAACCCTTTTTTGGGGGGATTATGAAAAAAAATATTGGGGGCCCCATTGGCAAAAGCGCGCCTTGGGTTACAGCCTGTTTTGGTTTACAAACAGACCTCCAGAACAGATTATGGTTGTAGACCAAGGTATCACTGTACTGGGCACCTTGAAAGCAATGAATCAAGCTTCATATTTTTAGAAATCACACTTCCAAACTGGAAAAATGAGATTCTAATCTGCTGTTGTTCATACCATTTTTTAATGTTCTGAGTACTGCTGCTTCTTTTGTTTTATTGGTAGGATTATATTTAATTGGGACGCGGGTGGCGCTGTGGGTAAAAGCTCAGCGCCTAGGGCTTGCCGATCGAAAGGTCGGCGGTTCGAATCCCCGCGGCGGGGTGCACTCCCGTCGGTCCCAGCGCCTGCCAACCTAGCAGTTCGAAAGCACCCCCGGGTGCAAGTAGATAAATAGGGACCGCTTACCAGCGGGAAGGTAAACGGTGTTCCGTGTGCTGCGCTGGCTCGCCAGATGCAGCTTTGTCACGCTGGCCACGTGACCCAGAAGTGTCTCCGGACAGCGCTGGCCCCCGGCCTCTTGAGTGAGATGGGCGCACAACCCCAGAGTCTGTCAAGACTGGCCCGTACGGGCAGGGGTACCTTTACCTTTACCTTTAAGCACAGGACAAGTGCAGAGGTTTTCTCATGAGATATGGAGGTCCTATTCTAATCAGACCTCTTCCCTATAGGACCATGTGTGTTGTTTGTGCATTTGATATATTTATATCCCACCTTGCTTCCATTACAGTGGCATATATAGGGTGTCCAGAGTTGCTGTGTCATGTGCTTTCAGACCATACTGGCTCAGTATCATGATTTGGTTATGGAGGGAACAGGGTGCCACTGGCAGACATGACCTGTCCTCCAGATTACATCATCTCTCAGTACCTCGGTGCAATTGGGAAGGGTGGTGGTCTTTGTGCTTCATCATGGTAGGAAGAGGACTCTAATGCAGTTTATCTCACCTGGCAGACCTACAGTAACTATTTCAACCCTAAACTCTCAATGGATATACCATGGGTACCTTACTCCTTAGCTGTGGCCACCATTTTTTAATGACAGAGGAGTTCTCTCCACTCCACAGATGAGCTGCATATTTTCCCCCAGGACGTGGTGCTGACACGTGGCTTCTTGGAATTGTCGGAACTGGCAATGCAAACTATCTTGCGCAGTGACTGTTTGGCCATCGATGAGGTGAAGCTGATTCGTGCTGTTCGGGAATGGGCTCATGTTGGATCCGTAAGTGCTCATTACGTGGTGAGAAAAGGGAACAAAGGGAGCAGGGATTGAGGATCCCACTCGCGGGGTTCTCTTGGAAGATGTATAGAGCTGAAAAAGTCATGTAGGGAAGGAATGATTGTGGATGCTCCCTGGTGATAGCAGGTTGCTGTGGAAGTAGGGAGTGCATAATTTTGCCCCTCTTAAGTTGGAGAGGCAGCAACAGAAGTGAGAGTGCTGATGCTCCATATAAATACAGGCTTGCACAGTTGGTGGGTGGGGCTGGTTGTCTCTGCTGTATTTCTGTATTTCAGTCAGCTAGTAGTTATTATTGTCTCCATATGTTAGTTGTTTTAGTTTATACTGATGTTTAAGAGGATCTAATTGTTCTGTGTCGTATTTTTTGGAGATATTTTTATAATGTTGGGAACCACTCAGACAGTTTTTGGAGGAATGAAACAGTATATAAATTACCTAAATAATAAAAATAACTGCAACCCATTGGCCAAAGGCAGCAACTTACACCTTTCTTGAGTATATAAAACGTTTTCCACAGAATTATGTGGTTGGAAAATAAATGTACAACCAGCAAACCACTTCACATTAATAGCAGATGTTAATCTACAGTTATTTGCAGGTTTTCCATAGCATTGGTGTTAGGGCTCTAACTCTCTCTCTCACACCCACACTGAGTCCACCTCCCTCATTTAACTACCACCAGGCCTGGCTCCAAGATAGAAGAATCTTGGTTTTCAGACCAGCCAATCAGGCACCACAGCTGCAACGTTCTAAACCTAATGAGCCAGTCCAGTGCTCTCCTTCAGTAAATTTGCTTAGAGCCAACCACCTAGCAACCAACAGAATCTAGGCCACAGTGTGTTCCAAGCAGATAAGAAAGGGTTGTAGGATAGAGCAACTGCTTTGCATGCAGATGGTCCCAAATTCAGTCCCTGAGAACTTGAGGCAAGGTTGGGAGATACTGCTGTCTGAAATACTAGAAAGCCCTTGCAAGTCCGTGTGGTAGACACCACTGAGCTAGACACTATTGACTCAGCATAAGGTAGCTTCCAATGTTCCTATGATGCACTTGCCCCAGTGAAATGACAGCCATCCAATTTCCCTATGTTCTTATCAAAAGCTGCCTACAAAGCAAGTAGCTCCAGCTGAGCTAAGAAAGAGAGATGAGACACATCCAGGAGAACACGGGGATTTTCCCACTGGTGCCCCCATCACATGGGTTTTCCCTATTTCTACCCAGCTGCAAGAGCACGGAGCAGGGCCCACTAGATCCCAGGTGCCTTTCTCTGATACTCCACATCTCCCATTGTTTGGTGACCCACTCCCTGGAACTGAAAATTATTTCCTTCC